ATTTGGGGTTGATCGACCATTTCACGGGGGTCATCAAGCAAGGCTGTCAGCCATTTTTTTTCCCTTTTCCAGCGGGTGCCTTACCTCCCTTGGGCTGGGCCAGCTGGTGGCCCAGCCAGTGGTTGGCCTGCTCTGTCTCTGCCGCTTGCCAGCTACGCCTCGGCCGATGCAGGGGGCAGCACCACGCATGCGCGGTGCTCGCAGGCAGAGAAAGTCCTCGACTTACGACCGATTGGGTAGTCCTCGACTTACGACTGGTTTAGTCCTCGACTTACGACTGGTTTAATCCTCGACTTATGACCGGTTGGGGGTCGCGGCATTAAAAAGGTTGAGAACCACTGGTCTAAGGCTAGCAAAAGTCTGGGCAAAGAGACTACCAATTTAGATATCCTTTTAGGCAGGGATTTTTTTCTCATAGAATGCCCAGAACGGAGTTCTGGCACCTTTTTTGGATGGAACCTTGTAGGGTAGGCAAGGTGGGTTGTATGACATGTGTGAGTTCCGGCATCTTTTTTTTTTCTTTTAGAAAAAAAGCACTGCTTTTAGGTATAACAGTAATGGCATTTCAAAGGCACCAGAAGCCATTGGAATGAAACCTACAAGTATCTGGACATTTTACAGTTGAATAATACCAAGTATCACAAGTTAGTAGAGTGAGAAAAGCGGGTAACAACAAGGCCTGGCAATGGCTAAGAGCAAGAAAATTGAAGAAAAATACAGAGGGGTTAATTCTGGCTGGATAAGATTAAGCCTTAAGAAAGAATACATACAAAGCCAGAATTGAGAAGACAGCAACAGACAAAAAATGCTGCCTCTGCAAAGAAACTAAAGAAACAATAGACCACCTACTCAGGTGCTGTAAGAAGATCATACAGATTGATTACAAACAATGGCATGACAAAATAGCAACAATAGTATATTGGAAGATCTGCAAGCAAGAACTGGTGGGACCACAAAATAGGGAAAATAATAGAAAATGAAGAAGCTTAAGTGCTCTGGAACTTTAGAATTTAAACAGAAAAGTACCTTCTACATAACACCCAAGACTTAACAATTATCAATAAGAAAGATAAAAATGTCTGGATAGTGGACACGGCAATACTTGTCTGGAGACAGCAGAACAGAAGAGAAAGAACTGAAAAAATATAAAGACCTGCAAATGGAAATAGAACAAATAGAAAGCAAAGATAGTGCCAATAGTAATAGGTGCCTTGGGTGCAATCCCAAAACAATTGGAACACTATTGAACACCATCAGCATTTACCTGTCATTTTCAAAAGTCAGCTTTACTTGGAACAGCTTACTTTTTGCAACAATACCTTTAACACCATCAAACACCAGCTGCCTATCCTAGGTCCTTAGAAGTGACTTCATAGGTAGACAGTAATGCCAACTCCAGTTTAAATATCTGGCTGGCTTTCTGACCAATCATAATAGCAATAATGACAATGTCTTTCCTAATATGGAGACTTCCAGATGTAGTTGATGAAAACACCCTTAAGTATGTCTGGAGGGCACCATTTATCATTGATGTCTTTTAGATTTATAAGATCACCTAAGGCATTTAGCTCTTATAAAGAACTAGTGTCAAACTGAGCTTTTTTTATGGGCAAAATTATTTGCAGTTGGCAACATAGCTAATTTCTCAGACCTAAATTCATTAGGAATGGCTGAACCACAGTGCTTAATGCAGTGGTGGGATTCAAATAGGTGAACAACTGGTTCTCTGTGTGGATGCCTCTTCCAGAAGTCCATTCTGGGCTTGGGCAACAAAAAATTAGCTACCAGTTCTGCTGAAGTGGTATGAACTGGCTGAATCCCACCACTGGCTTAATAGAATATGCCTATAAATAATCTGCCTAAAGAGTTTTAAAGAGTTTAAAGCTCTTGAAATAAAACTTTGCCAATCCATTTGTTATGAAAATTGATAGCATTTCAAAACAACTGCATATAGACGAGTGGAGCTTCAGCACAACGTTATTCTGAAACAGAGGTATATGAATATTGGTATTGTGGACTTCTACAAGTTCTTTCACAAGAAAGCTTTCCAAGGTTAGTCACTGAATTGACTAGAACTGTGGCAATGTTTGATTCTGCTTATGTTAAGTGATCAGGGTTTTTTTCTTGTTAATGAAGTAACTGACAAAGCAGCTTTATATTCTCACTTTGTAAGCAGTTACTTCAGTGAAATCATATCCAATGGTGATATTCTGCAAAATGCTGTTGATGAAGCAGTCAGAATGAAGGACTTCAGAAATAACCACACATGAAGTTAATTACATGGAGTAATGTTGCCCAGCTTGACCCAAATAAACATTTCAATTTCAATTCATTTTTTATAATAATGAATTAATATTTGATTATTTAACTTTAATTATAATGTGGGCTACCCTCTTGACTAATATGGCAATCAAATGATTTCTTAATAATGAGCCTTCAGTTACTGAATATTCAAGTTCAAATGAGTATGTTTTCACCATGTTTTCCATTTTCCTGGAAAAGTTTTCATTTTAATGAATGAGAATAGCAATGCTGTCAAGTGACATAATTTGATATATTTTATTCATACAAGCACTCTGTTGCACAAGAGTGGCTGAGATGAGTTAATAAATCTGATGGATTATGTTATGCTAAAAGAGCAAGAAAAGATAATTTCTATGCTCAGGAACTTGAACATTAGTAAAATGTAAATGGATTTGTATCACTTTCATCACCACTTTTTCATAGTGTGTCTGAATATATTCATCTTACTTAAATTCCTAAAATAGATATGGGAAACTCAGAGACCTCCAAACGTTGTTGAACCACAGTTCCCACCATTCTATCAAATGACTTCCAAATTTGCCCTCTATGATTAATGAGAAATGTAGTACATTTGAAAAGTCATGATTTTCCTATTTTAACACTAAAAACATGCTACTCTCATAGACGTAAACCCTCACTTTAACTAACATTAAATTATTAAATTAAATTAAGAGTTTACTGTGTTGAGGGTTTTTTTTCAGTCTTCATAGCAACATAGAAATCTGTCTTACATTAAGTCATACCATTGGTCAATATATAACCTAATTAGGTCAGCACTGAGTGGCAGCTCTTTTCTTGCATATTGGCAGGAGTTTTTTTTTTTTTTTTTTTAGCCTTCTTGGACGATGCAGAGATTGATCTGATGCCTCCTTCCACAGATATTTTTCTTCATACAAAATGGGTACAAAGAAAATGAAGAGGGTGCCACCTAATAATGCAGTCCTGACTTGGAGGCAAGATGAGTCAGCTGATCAATAGATAACTTCCTAGCGGAGAGGACAGTCCTCACGAATCTTGCCTGCAAGTCTTCTTTTGTCACTGCCATTTTATCATGGGATGAGGAAGTGAGATCTCCACCCTATAAATGTTGTTTCAAAAACAAGAACAGATTCCTGTGTTATGCTTTAACCAACAGTCCATGTCTCTATAATCCCAAATAACGTTGGTTATTCCAGTTCTAATTCTTCTATGGAAAATAGGTAATCCCTCCTCTATACTGCAACATGAGAGAAAAAATTTAGTAGATAGGGACAATGTATCTGACAACAATAACCTAACAATTAAAACACTGACAGTTTCAGGTAGTCCTCGACTTATGGCCACAACTGAGCCCAAAATTTCCATTGCTAAGCAAAAGAGTTGTTAGATATGTTTTGCCTCATTTTATAACCTTTCTTGTCACAGTTGTTAAGTCAATCATTATAGTTGTTAGTAACACAGTTGTTAAGTGAATCAGGCTTCCTCATTGACTTTGCTTGCCAGAAGGTCACAAAAAGTGATCACACAATCCTGGCAACGGCAACTGTCATAAATACATACAAGTTGCCAAGCATTCAAATCTTGATCAATTAACCCTGGGAATAAGAGTTAAAAATGGTCATAAGTCACTTTTTCAGTGCAGTTGTAATGTTGAATTAAGGTCACTAAACAAATAGTTGTAAGTTGAGGACTACCTGTACTAAGATATATGGACTTGCCATGAACATATTTCTGGAAAACACCAGATGGTCTACTATATCCTATATTTTCTCATAGAACAAAATCTGCCTTGATTACTGCATAGCTGGCTAATTGGAAACATGAATGAAAAATTTCCTGTGACTATAAATTATGAAGTATTATCTCCCATTTTACAATATAGTACAACCTCGAACCCCCACCCTCTCCAAAGCACTAGTCACATTGATTGATAACAGCCATGATAGTGAATATTTATATGGTACCATCCATCATTTTACTTGATAGAAGTGAACAAAAGTTAAATCCCTGCCACAATGAATGCCGAATTTAAATTTAGTGAAGGTGAAGGGAAGGGGAAAGCTAGTAAATCATGGTGGAATGAGAAACAAGAGGGAGAGCTCACAGAAGAGGCATATTGTGGAGCAATTACAGGTAATCCTTGACTGACGACCATTTGTTTAATGGCCATTTATAGTTATGATGATACTGAAAAAAGTGACTTATGATCAGTCTTCGCACTTACAACCATTGCTGCCTAGCCATGGTCACAAGATGAAAATTTGGGCACTTGGAAACCAACAGATATTAATGACAATTGCAGCATGCCAGGGTCACATGATAGCCATTTATGATCTTCCCAACCAGCTTCAGACAAACAAAGTCAATAGGGAAAGCTGGATTTCCTGAACAACTGCACAATTTACTTAAGTGCAGTGATTTGCTTAATCACCACAGCAAAAGGGCATTAAAATGAGGCACGACTCACTTAACAACTCCATTGCTTAACAATAGAAGTTCTGGTCCCAATTGTGGTTGTAAGTAAGGATTACTTGTATATATATTTCAGTCAGTTTGCAGAGCCACCAGGTTGAACCCTTGGGCCATATTGAGTTTCACCTTATTTTTAGTAGCTAGGCAGAAAAACAGGCAGAACTGGTTTATTGAGCCTGGGGGGGAGGGAGACTTATATAAAGCTATTGTAAAGGTATAAATGAGAGTGTATCATGTTCAAAATAATCAGGTAAAAATGGCAATAGTTCATATTGCTTTTTAAAACTGAAAATAATGTGCTGCTGTGTGACAGATTCCCTTCATATAAAAATTAGATGTGGGAGACGAGAGATTTTTGTTGAGGTCTCCTCCCAGCCTGCTGCTATTCTGCTTGGAAAGATACCTTTTGGATAATGGGGCTTTCCATCATCAAGCCCAGAGCTGCAAACAGAATGTGAGTCCAAATCAGTTTATCACCATCTGTTATTTGTGAGAATCAAACCTCATTTGGGATAAAGAGTAAAGAGATAAATTAGTAATTTCACATAAAAGGGGATATTTCAGTAGGAATTGAAAATCTTTGCAGACTGAGTTGCAGAATATAAAGAAGCTGTGCTAAGAATTCCCCTCTTCTTTTTCTTCCCCAGAGTATGTTTTTCAAAAAAAAAGTCTTGTTCTGTCTTTGTGACCCTTCTTTTTATCTTATGGGTTTAAACTGGTACTGACATTAAATGATGCTGCTAATCATGCTATTTCTTTTCTTTTCTTTTTTTATAAAAAGTTTTATTGGTTTTTTCCATTTTTTTTCCAGTTTAGGACACAATGGTGTCAAATCATTCAAAAACAAAATCATATACGTATAGCTCAAATTAATTATCAAAAATTTCCTCTCTGTTTCCTAAATATAATATTGCTTATTAAAATTAATACAGTTTTAGGTAAAGTTCAATCAAACAAAAATCATCAATCACATGCAACTATAATAATCTATATCCTGTTTTTAAGCTTTACTAATTACAGTTGTCATACTCGAACTATTTCTTTTCTTTGCAAGTTAGTCGAATGGTGCTTTATGAAGACAAGTTCTTAAGAGTGTTAAAAATTACATATTTTTTAAGCAAGCTATTCTTAGTAGTTAATCTGAAGGCTAGTGAATAATGAGCTCCAAAATCTGCATACAATTGGGTTGAATGCATTACCAGGTTATGTTGCATCATCCTTCTCCACATAAATGTGGCATCACTACAGTTCCCATAATCACCAGCTGCAGGATTCCATGTTGGGGAGAGTAGTGTTGGAAAGGAAAAGATAGGAAGGAATGATGTTTGTTCAGAGGTTTCTCTCTGAGATAAGGCTCTTTTCACTGACATAAATTTCCAGTCCTCATCTAAACCATGGATGCTCAAATCTTTCTTTTGTGTCTGTCTTTAAAATTCCAAATTACCTTATTCTAAAATTATCTGTGCACAGTGAAATGCTCCATTTCAGAGTACATTTTGAAATGAGATATCTTTATAATACGAAATATTCCTGGTGAAAAAAAAAACCATGAACAGAGATATCCAGCTTTTTACTCTCTTGTGCTGATTTTTCTACTAGCAAGGATTTTTTAATAGAAAGAAATGCTGAAAACAAATCTTTCTTCTCCCTATATTGAGCACTTGTTGGACTGAAATGTTCCATATTTCACAGTGCCTGCCTGCCTATTTCTGCCAAGGAACAAAAAAAAAATAACAGCTTTTTGTTGATCTCCTGCTTATAATCACTGGAGAAGCATCAGCTTTTAAGAAAGCTCAAGATACCATTCGGTCTTAGATATGAGCCAAATTACCAGATTAACTTGCATTGCTGAACTGAGGCAGCTTCCCATCTCTTGACAGCATTCTCATCCATATAATACATTCCTTGCACACTTGTCAAGATCATGTTCAGTGAGCTTAATAAGATGAAGTGGACTCAGGTTTTTATTCTTAGTCCTAGTGGGTAAGAAATGACAAGTGTAAATTGCCGTATGATGTAATTACTAAGCCAGTGAGGACAGATTTGAATCAGATAATAAGCAGTTATTATGCTCTTTTCTTAACAAAAGATATACCTACTTGTTCCTGATGATTAAAATGTTTGTTTACTTTTAAATAAGACTGTAATGGGAAAGATATTATGTTAGACAAAGAAGTAGGAAAAAATACAAAAGAATAACGATCAGAAAGACAATTGTTAAAGGAAGCATATGGGTCTAATTTAAAAAAAAAAACCTCATAGGAAGGAGGAAATGGTAAAAGACAGGCTGCCATTACTGTTATGTCCCGAGCCTTGCAAACGGCTCGGGCGTTTGCAGGCAGTCCCGGGCAGGTGCAAAGCTGCCCGGGACCAGACAGGCTGTCGCCAGCGCCGTGCGCATGCGCGGGTGCTGGCGCGGAAAAAGTAACCCATTTACCCGGGAGTTGCCTATATAAGAGGCTGCGAGGCGTTTGGGCGAGGCTGAAGCCATCTTCCTGTAAGCTGAACGCTGAATAAAAGAAACTGAGAACTCCAGCTGCTTCTCGTGTCTGTTTTCCCGCCACGGACTCAACACTGGCGACGAGGGTGGGATGCCTTGCACTACCTGGAAAGGAAGAAGTGTAAGCTTACCCAAGGAGTCCTGAGCGGCGAAAGAGGAACGGCGTCGACTCGGCAGCTGCCCGCCAATCCGGTGCGCATTCGGGGGTAGGCTGGCTGATAGACCCGTCTACTGAAGATCCGAAGATGGCGAAAATCGGAAGGCTTTCGGAATTCGACGTCTCACATCCAGAGCGGTGGGAGTCCTACGTATCCAGAATGGAGAACTAGTTCAAGGCAAACCAAGTGAGGGAAGATAGCTTGAAGGCAGCCACCCTGCTTTGCGTTTGCGGCCAAGACGCCTTCGAAATCGCAGAAAACCTTGCAGCACCTGTCCCAGTAGAGTCTGTAAGCTACGCAGACCTGAAGAAGCTGCTGAAGGAGCATTTCCATCCAAAGGTGTCCGTTATCTCATGGCGCCACACCTTCGAACAAAGGGATCAACGGTCCGGTGAGTCAGCCAAGGAATACATCGCCGCGTTACGGAAGGCCGCCAAGCCCTGCGAGTGCAAGGACCTCGAGGAACGACTGAGGGACCGATTCGTGTGCGGGTTAAGGCATCGCGAGCTACAACAGAGACTTTTCGCAAAGGAAGAATTATCCTTCCAAGACGCCTTAAGGGAAGTCACCACAGAAGAAGCAGCAGGCGGCGCCGTCAAAAACATGCGGCCAATCAGAAACAGTGCAGAGGGTGCGTCCGTGCACCAGGAAGACGTCCGACGAAACTCCGAGGAGGATCCGGACGAGGAAGTCGACCGTCTACACCCCGCGAAGGAAGAGAACCAGAAGGGAAGCTCTTCGGCTCCGCTCAAGTGCATCGGCTGTGGAGGTCGCCACAGGAGAACCGACTGCAAGTTCCACTCCGCTACCTGCCGGGCATGCGGTAAACAAGGGCACATTGCAGCTGTGTGCCTGGGCCGACGAAAGGCACAACCCCAAGAAGAACGCCTGAAGGGTACCAGATTCCCCAGCCAGAATAGGCTTTCTTACAGGCAAACCTGATTCGTCATGCCACGTCTGCGCCTTTTCACCCGTCCACCAACGGTATGGCTGAACGCATGGTGCGCATCGCAAAGGACGCCTTGAAGAGACTCACCTACGGGGACTGGCATCACAGGTGGCTGACTTTCTCCTTTCTTATCGCACCACACCGTCCACTTCTACAGGGAGAAGTCCAGCTGAACTTCGTTGGGGGCGCCAACTTACTACTAGACTTGACCGGTTGCATCCGGACAGACTGCCTTCATCTACCTCACATCCTAGGGCACCTAGACAACTACTTGTGGGTGCCCCGGTTTGGGCTCGCAATTACGGGCCTGGTCATACATGGGTCCCCGCTTCTGTGTCCAGGATCACAGGTCCTCTCTCCTACGAGGTTGCCCTGGACAACGGTCGTGTCCTGCGTCGGCACATCGACCAACTTCCGCTCTAGGCGGACTTTTCTGCTGAGACTCCTGGGTCTTTTCCAGGGGGGGAGGGGGACCCTTTGGAGCAAAGGGAAGGGCAAGAGCTACTGCCCATCTCCACTGATGGAGCCACAAACGGCCTCGTCCCAAGGTTCTGCAATTGCTCCGAAAAGAAAAGTCATGGAGCTTACCCACACAACAGGCACTCACGCCTACTCCAGCCAGGGAGTCACCCCGGGGGCATACTCACTTTCCACACACATCACACAGCACTCCAGTCACGGAGGATACCCGGGGGCATCCCAACAAATCATTCCCCGCAAGAGAGCTGGCACACAATTCCCAAGGTTGGCCTGACCTTACCCCAAATCCTACAGGGGGTCAAACATACACAGAGCTAGTCGAGGAACCAAGTCCCGACTACAACAACCCTAGCACAAATCAGGGAACACCTGAGTTTTGGGAAAGTACAGAAACCCACACGAGCCCGAACACAGAATGGGGTTCAGGGAATGGACAGCCTCCTGACAGGTCTTGGACTGACCTAGGAGGTTCTACAGAGACGCCCAGCAGCGGCTATCACTTCAAGGGGCCTGAGGGTCTACAGCTAGGTAGGTCAACCAGGTCACAAAGTAACAGAAGCCCTGGCCTGACGAGCCCGGTGGGCAAGCAAGCAGGCCAGGCATCGGGGCACAGTCCTTGGAAGACACCAGGGCACAATAGAGAGAACAGGCTCACGCCTCCCTCCAGTCAGGGGACTTATGCCAGTAACCCAGAGCTAAGAAGGTCACAGAGAGCAAAGAAATCTCCTAAGTATCTAGAAGATTACATAACATTGCTGGCAAGGCAAAAGCCAGTAATCAGTGGGAGCACTGGGGAGCAAAATGTCATATAAAATAAATGTTGTATGTTGGTAGTAGTTTTAGCCCGGGGGAAAGGGGTGTTATGTCCCGAGCCTTGCAAACGGCTCGGGCGTTTGCAGGCAGTCCCGGGCAGGTGCAAAGCTGCCCGGGACCAGACAGGCTGTCGCCAGCGCCGTGCGCATGCGCGGGTGCTGGCGCGGGAAAAGTAACCCATTTACCCGGGAGTTGCCTATATAAGAGGCTGCGAGGCGTTTGGGCGAGGCTGAAGCCATCTTCCTGTAAGCTGAACGCTGAATAAATGAAACTGAGAACTCCAGCTGCTTCTCGTGTCTGTTTTCCCGCCACGGACTCAACAATTACCTTCTTGCATCTCTCTGATTGTTGGATTTAAAGGCAAATACAGTAGTGTGAATGGTCTTTTATTCCAGTCAAGTATAATGAATCTCAAAGAATTGGAGTCCACTGGGAAGGTCATTTTTCTTATGAAAGATATTTAATTAGAGGAATACATTTCAAAAAGAGAGAAACTGTTGGAGCATAACATTTAGTCAGAGTTGTTAGTACAATTAAAAATAAGCCCCAATACT